TATAAAATAAAATATATCAAAAAATTTAATGAATATAATTTATTACACCAAAAATGTTTTATATTAAATAATATTTCTTTTTGTATTTGTTTAATTATCGTATGATAAAGTAATTATACAGAAGCTAATGAGATGCATATTGCTTTATATATTTAAGTATGTGAGAACTGATCTCAATGTGAAGATCCATAGAGGTCTAGAGGTCTAGCGTAGTCATATATCGTATATGTCAGGCTCTCGTCGTTTGTATATAGAATACTATATTATATCATTTCATATCATAGAAAATCACAACAAATTATACATATGATAGGAGTAAATATTTTGTTTCGAAAACGAATTCCAGATTTCTTTATATGCTCTAACTAGAATACTCTTATATGTGTGTCTATTGTATCCCATTCTACGATTTTCAGTTATAGACATATATACATACACACACACATCTATAGGTATAGATATGAGAGAATTTGAAATTTCTCGAGTTATTTGAGCACGGTTCCCCGTTTTGGCCATTATCTATGCCAACGCCACTCGCCTGCCCCAAAAAGTAATGGCTCGATAAGGGAGTTGCCAGCCCAGAGAAAAAGAAGAAGAACAAAAAATAAAAATAAAACAAAACGCACGCGTCGTGGTGGCAAAAATGTTAGCCAAAAGCCGTGGGCCATAAATAAACCTCAATCGCAGCAGAGTCGCTCCACCGAGCCACCGAGTCAGCGAGCCACTCAACTCAAACTCCAAGATCAAATGTGCGCATAAAGCATTCAAACACGCCTGGCAACAAAAGGGCTGCGGCCCAGCCCCTTCCCCCCTCGCTCGGGCACCTCGTACTCCTACCAGTTCGTGGCAAGCGGGCGCTCTCGCTGCGCAGTCGCTGTTGCAGCAACCACCAATGTCAGCAACTCCGCCTCGACCATGCCCACCGGCCGCCCGCCCCCCAGCCGCCTCCTCTGTCCATACGCAATACGCGTGTCGCTCTCTCGACCAAGAACCCAGCCCCGCGGCCCAAACCTGCCACATGCAACAACAGCAGCAGCAGCAGCAACAGCAGCGGCAGCGGCAGCAACTTTCCACGTTCTTGATCGTGAATTTTCTATGCTACTGGGCCTTGAAACCTTGAAAAAAAAAAAAAAAAATACAAATACAGAGAGAAGAAGAAGTAAGAAATTGTTGTACACAGCAGCAGGCGGCATGGAGCATGAGGCATGGGGCATGGGAGGAGGGCGGCATGTTGCCAAGGGGGCGCGCTGTGTGGGTGTGGCTGGAGTTTGGCGCAGCAGCTTTGCCGCATTACGTCAGTGCCACATAAGCTGCAAGTAAAAGGGAAACTTGGACTCCATCCAATGCGGAGTTTTAATGTCACTTTGCCACAGCCACAGCCAGAGCCAGAGCCGGAGCTACAGCTACAACGAGGCATAGATACAAATACACACACACAGATACAGATACACATACACGGAGATACTTGAGTTACTTGCAAGACATACATACATACATACATACATACATACATACATATGTATGTATTTGTGTGTATATATCTATGCTGAGCTGTCGTTTTTCTTAGGCAGTTCTTTTTGCTGTGCCTCTTCTTATGCGCTACCCCACCCCGCTCTCCTCCCCTCATCCACCCTCCCCCTGCTTGCCATTCGTCAAGAGTTGCGCCTGCTTTTCTGCACATTTGTTTGGCTTCGTCGCGGAGTTTGGCCAAGACTTTGACTCTGACTTGGCCGAGGTCGCGTCTGTGTGTGAGAGTGTGTGCCTGTGTGTGTGTGTGTGCGTTTGGGACAAGGTGTTTCATGTTGTTAATGGCCCTATGCGGTTTAGCTGACCCGCCTCCGCCCACACCCCATTTCCTGCACATTTTCCATGCCTATCTGAGACTCTGCATGTGTGTGTGTGTGTGAGTGAGTTTTTCTTTCGTTTTTCAGCAGCTTTTGCCAATTTGCGTTTTATTTTCCACACACAGAAAAGGGAAATCGAAATTATGGCCAAGCTGTTTGGTCCTTTATGCTGCTACTGCGCAGCTCCATAATAGATTCCGATTTAATTTTTTACTTGTATTTTTTTCTCTATGGTTGCCTTAGTGAGTCATCACTGTGGTTAGAGTTGCTCTCGCCTGAAATTGCTTTGTTTTGGCGCTCGTGCTGCGGCATAACTTAATTTTGCTTAGAGAGTTGTTAGGGTAATACCAATATATATAATCTATATATTTGAGTGAAGGGAAAATGGTAGTTCATACATAGGCATTCACTAGAGAAAGTTATGTACTACAGAAGATTGTATAGATAATTATACTTTATAGATTTAATTCACAAATTGATCTGAAAAAGGTTGAAGAGATACATCGAGCCTTATAATAATATTATAGATATTTATGTAAGTGACGAAGCTGCTTGAAAATTCAATAATGAATTGGAGATATAATATAAATACTGAGAAAAAATTGTGGGTACATTAAGT